TCTCTTAGTAAATTTTGTCTTTTTTTCTATTTTCTATCTTTCTGAATCACTGTTCGGCCAACCATTTACATAAGCTCATTAGGCAGGGGTTATGGACTGTTTTTCTCTGTCCCTCTTTGCCTTCAATATGCCCAGTGGGTGTTGAATTTTCCGAGCATGAGAGATTTCAACTCTGATGTTATCTTTAATTGTGCTTCCATTTCCACTAAAACATTATCATTAATTACATGTTAAGTCTATGGTATCCTCAGCATCCTTTTGTAGTACCATATTTCTGTTGCCTCAAGACTCTTCTTCATTTGTGAGGAGATTGTCCAGCATTCAGTGACATATAGGAGGACCAAGATTAAACATGCAAATAATATAAATGGATTACAGTAAATGATCACATATATGAATCAGTACACTTTTATTTTAATGAAGTTTATAGGCATGACAAGGCTCAAAATAGTCCTAAAATTAAGCATGTTTTAACCATGAAGCCTAGGAATTTTTATTAGTAGGATGAAGTTTATGAATATGGCAAGGCTCAAATTAATCCAACGATCAAGCATATTTTAAACAAAACCAGGCTTGGATTTTTTTATTAGTAGGATGAAATTTATGAATATGGCAAGACTCAAAAACAAAACCAAGCTTGGATTTTTTTGTTAGTAGGATTAAGTTTATCAATATGGCAAGGCTCAAATTAATCCAAAGATCAAGCATATTTTAAACAAAACCAAGCTTGAATTTTTTTGTTAGTAGAATGAAGTTTATGAATATAGCAATGTTCAATATAATCCAAAGAGTAAGCCTATTTAAAACATGAAGCTAAGCTTGGATTTTTTTATTAGTATAAATCAGAGGAAAATTAATCTAGTCTAGCCTTGGACTAGTCCAAAATTTAAGCATATTTTAAACATGGAGCCAGTAAGTATGAAGTGAAGCCCTGATTTTTTTGGAGATCAATATATTTTAAAGCGTGTCCTGGGCACGATGTTAAACTGTAACCAAATTGCATCCTGGAAATGGAAAAGTGGACAAAATGGCCAAGGGGTCTCTGAACATGGCTCCCTCTAAAGTAATGTTGCCTTACACAGACTTCAGACCCTGCATAAACAGGACCATTAAAGACAAATGGCAGCAATTATGGAACAACTGCTCTAACAACCAACTTTTCAATATTCAACCTATCATTGGTGAAAGACCGGCAAGTTCCAGAAAAACAAGGAGGGGGGAGGTGGTTCTAGCCAGACTCCGTATTGGTCACACATGCATAACACACTAACATCTAAAAAAATGAGGTACCTCCAACATGTGTCCCATGCCAAGAATCTTATACAGTCAAACACATCCTACTAAATTGCCATAATTTCCAACGAATCCATAGTAAACACTATAAATCAGATAACCTAAAGTATCCATTCAAAAATACTAATCCAAGAAACATCATAAATTAAAGAAATTGGGATTTACAGAAAAATCTAAAAAAAAAATAATGCATTTTTGAAAAACAAATGTTACCAGGTATATATATTTTTGAAAAAAAGAAAAATATATATTACCAGCTATACATTTTTTTCAAAAAGAAAAAATATTACCAGCGATACATAATTGAAAGAAAATTATTACCAGAAATAGAATTTTTGAAGGAAAAATATTACCAGAAATAGATTTTTAAAAAACATTGCCAACAATAAAATTTTGTCAGCATTAAATGACCCATTGAGGTTGATATGCTGTAAAATCAAAACAAATCAAAAAATTTTAAAGCAAAATTTCAACTCTTCTCAAATTTTAGATCTCAAACTTAAACATTTCTTATAATATCCAAGTTCAGCTAGAGTTACTTGATGCTAATAAAATAACCATATACACATGTTTACAAAATAAGGCATGTGCCATCAGTAAACATTAATAATCTATCTCCCTTGAGCATAGGCCTGTATTGATGCAAGCATACAATTGTATTGATAGTAAATACCATACTGTAATACATTATTCTGTGTATTTTGCACTTGGAACAATGCAGCAAGAGTTGTAGGTGGGCTAAGTGTTTTGTCCCATCATGTGTTTAATGGAGGACAGATCTGGTTATTGTATTGGCCACTGAAATTGTTAAACATTTTGTAGAGCAGTATGGGCATTATGTAGGTTGGAATTATTCAACTGGAATGGTACAATACTTTCCAGTTGCAGGAATAACAGATGAATGGGCTGAACAATATTCTGGATGTACATGACATTGTTCAACTATCCCTCCACAAACACCAAAGATGTATGAGTATTCTAACTTAAAGAACTCCTTACCATGAAACCTGGGCCTGTATGTTGTGGGTGAATACAATCTAGAATATGTCTCTTCACAGGTAAAATTGTGTGAAGGCAGAATTCTGCTGAGTGCCATTTGATCTTCCAGAGGAACCTCTTGTAATACCACAAGAGATTTGCATGATAGTGTGACATAAGTGGAAGTCTGACTAGATGAACGTATGCTCTTGTCCTGCTGCAAATAAATGATTCCTAACAATCTGTGATGACACTCCTGGGTCCACTTTTGCTCTGTGGCCATCCATTATGATGTGCTGATCTTGGTAAGTGTCTGCACTATGTAGATGGTCTGCAGTTGTAGGAATGTTCCTCTGATCAATGTTGCTAACACCACTATGCAGCAATTTCTCTGAAATGAGCAGACTCTTGAAGACCTAAATTTTGAACACTCAGGCCATCTTTTGAACACCCAATCCAATGGGGTGTGTTCATCTCTGTGTGTCCTTGCTTGCATTAGACTTTCATCACGCTAAACCATATCATAGCATGTGTTGGCTTATGGCTATATCACGTTAAAACACCAGTTTTGTAAGATCACCAAAATTAACATTGAACCTGGTCAGTAACTAGTTCGGTGGCCATTTTGGTACACCAGGTGCTGTAAGATTGGATGTGCAGATGGGTTAATGGATAAGGGCTTGGGATTGGAAAATTGGATAGCCAAGTTCTAATTACAACCAGGTTCATTATATGCACTTTTGTGCAAATACTCTTAGGAAACGTATGAATCTACGTCTTTTATATTCAGCTATGAGTTCAATAGTAGGATTTTTATCAGTAAATCATTATTATCTCCAAAAGAATTCTTACAATCTAAAATTATTTTCTAGCTTTAAATAACCTGCTGAAGGTTGATAATACATAAAAAATCAATGAATAATATTGCAACTACAGATCTTAGTTACAGTTTGTTTTGTTTTTTTTTCCTTAATCTTATAGTCATATACAGTAATTTGCACCCTGACTCTTACATTTCACCATTCCTGGTGGATCTTCTAATATCACAGTGTGGAATACCTACTTACAAAAGTGATGGAAAGAAAAAGAAAAAAGACTGTAAATGAATTCATAATAAATTTAGCCTTCCTCCCTCCCTCCCTTTCTTCCTTCCTTTCATCTTCCATTCCTTCCTCCTTTTCTCCCTCCCTTCTTTTCTTTCTCCCTTCCTTCCTTTCATCTTCCATTCCTTCCTCTATTCCTCCCTCCCTTTTTTGCTTTCTTTCTTCCTCCCTCTCTCCCTTTCTTCCTTCCTTTCATCTTCCATTCTTTCCTGCCTCCCACCCTTCCTTTCTTGGGCACATAATCAGTAATGAGGGCTTGAAAAAAATTGACTCTCCGAGAACATATTGAAGGCTAGACTGATTGATTATTTTGTTTGTTTAACGGCACATCAACTCCTTATGGGTCATTTAATACCAAAATTTAATTTTCTTGGGAGATTTGAAGTATTAAAATATGATATATGTTATTCTATTTTCATAATTGAATACATGGTAGATGATACTCAGCTTTTGTGCATATGCATGCTTGTGGGGAGCATGTATCACTATCTCAGAAACAGATTGTGCACTAGCATGAGTGTTACTATATCATAAGAATGGCTGAAGTTTTTAAAGATTTTATCAGCATATTTCTGTATTCATGTATACTTCAGCAGTAAGAATTTATTTTATTGAAATCAGTTAAGAAGTTTTGTTTAATTTACTTATTACATTTTTCTAGTTTACATATAAGCTGTCACACAAGCAGATCAATGTTCAGGTAACTTTAAAGTTAAAGATGGCTTTCTCAATGAAAAGAAAAGGTGACCAATTTTTTTTCCCAAAAATGGAGTAATTTTAAAAAGTGTAAAATGTCTAATGAGACATGGGTGATACCAGATAACTTAGTACAAGAGAAAATTGATCATTATTTTTAAATAGTCAGCTACTGATTTCCAATCACACCTGTCTGCTAGGCTGGCTAGCCAGTCAATCTCTGTTGCAGATACTTGTTCATGCACATTTGCGTTCAACACCCTCAGAGCCCACCTGTGGATTGTACTGCAACTATACTGAACAGATAATTAGTTACAGTTTCTGGAAGAGAATGCGTAATCTGGTGATATCAACAATTTGAACAATATCAGCTCTGTTCCATCTTCAATTCGCTTGAAGATGGAACAGCGCTTACTTTAACTCAATTTAATTCAAATAATTATATTGAAGTTTTCGGCTCTTGTTTCGAAACATGAGACTTCTTATGTCGCGATTTGGAATCATATTTTTAAATAAATAATTATATTTATGCTCTACTTTTGTATCGAGCACTATTTTTTAAAAATAATAACTAAAATACTAAGGGACTTTGGATTATTTACCTAACCAGTTCCTTCCTATTTTCTATATATTTTTACACACACACATATACATATATTGTTAAATATAACAATGAATGCCTATTATAGTCGATCTTGATTCTTTTTTAAGCCCCTCTGAGCTTGAAACAGGTTCAATTGTTAACTCATACTGCTAGGGTACTTCAAGGTACTTCAGTTTCCTAGTTAATATATTAACAACAAATAAAAAAATTCGTCTGAAAATGAAACTTTTTTCCCAAAATAATTGGCGGGGAAGGAGTTAAATGAAATAAGAAACATCAGTTTTCTTTTTCAACAAGAATTTATTTCTGCCAACGCAATGATTTTCTCACGTAGTCTTACAAACCTTCATTCGAAATTCTTGTTCAATTTCGGCTAACATATCAAAAGTTGTGACGTGGAATACATAATCTTCAGTAGATGCGACCTTTTTCAATTCCTCTAGGGAAACATCATGTCCTACTCCAACAGCAAACACATTAGCCCCGATATTGTGCAAGCCTCGGGCCTCTTTGAGAGTTTCTTCCGGCATAAGAGACTGACCGTCGGTTAGCACAACTACGACTTTTTGTGCTCCACTGCGTCCACCATGCTCTTTCTTGAAGCTCTCCATTCTGACGTGTTTCAAGGCCAGGTTTGTGTAAGTCACACCACCTATTCGTTGCAGCTGATGAATTTGTGCCGACACGTCGTCCTTATATTTGTAGTCGTTCAACCAAAAAACGTTTCTGACTTTATCAGCAAACGCAACAATGCTTATCTGGGCGTATTTGGGACCTATTTTTGAGTTTCTCACGAACCTCGATACAAAATAGCGTAGTAAAGTGAATTGGTCAAGCTCTACACTAAAAGATTCATCCAGAACGAAAACAATATCCATTTGACGCACGCCGCAAACTGAAAGAAAGAAAAAACTGTCAAAGACGTCGGTATTTCTCTCACATACGAATGACATTATCATCAATATATTCATATCAAGCTAGCTATATTTCTAAAGACATTTCAACGTATCTTTCTATGTGATTGATGGATTCATTCGTTTTTAACGGTTTACCAACCCTTGCAGATTATTTAAAGCCAGAAAATATTTTTAGATTGTAAGAATTTTTTCAGATGATGCTTTACTGATTAATCTTACTAATTAACCCATAGCTGGGGAGAAAAGGTGAATTCATACATAAACAGAATTTGAATGTGGATATAAAATGGGGGATCAGTTCTATCTTACAATCAATATATAAACTGATCCCTCACTTAGTAGTTTCTATACATTTATATTCCAGAGAATGTAAATAAATGTAAAAGACATGCCTGTGTAGTTAATCAGTATTTTATTGATTGATTCCTTTTCTACGGTTTATCAACCTTTTGCAGGTTATTTAAAGCCAGAAAACATTTTTAGATTGTAAGAATTTTTCTGTTTTGGAGATAATGATTTAGTGATACAAGTTTTACTAATTAACCCATAGCTTACAGCTTTCTAAAAACTAATACAAATAAAACGAATATTTATCATTTGCCAATTTATAAAGAAAGAAATATGAAAAAATTTCTTATTCATAAATTTATAAACATTTACTAAATTATTCAAATATGTAAACCAACTGTAAGGAAATCCTTATTATTTACCATTTTATAAAGTTTGAATCAATTGGCAATTAGCCAATGTTTTGCTAACCATTCCAATAAATAATATAAGAAATAAATAGTGTAAAAAACAATATAATAGTGTTTATGATTTTTGTTGTCAATTTTCAAGAAGAAAGAAACAATTTTAATTATACCTTTTTAAAACAATAAATATTGCCGAAGAGTGAAGATAGTTAAAAAAAGCTGTATCATGGGGAAAACCGCCGTTTTGACACTACATCTTATAAGTTACTTTATTCCTTTTTTTATTCTTGAGAATTTACAACAAAAATGTTAAACACTATAGGGAGTATAATGTTGGAAGACCCCCCCCTCTCCAATGATCCGTGGCTAAAAACATTACTGATGATGAGTGCCAAAGTATCAAAGATATGTATTAGCTTAATGCAAAAATAATGTCGTTTTTTTGACGTTAAGTTGAACGTCAAAAAACGACATTATTTTTGCACCAACCTAATATTTCATAAAATTATACATAAAATTCTTAAGTATTTCGGTAAACTTTGACCTCCATTCTAGCAAAAAAAAAAAAAAAAAAGGGTGTGCCGAAAGGACAGTTTTTTTCCCTTGACACCGCTATTATTTTAACTATCTTCACTGCTTGGAAATGTTTGTTTTTAAAAAGTGATGATTAGAATTATAATGAAGCCCAAACGTATGACAAAAGTGAATTTATATGTTTTGTTTTTGAGAATTGGCAACAAAAATATTAAACACTATTAGATTCTTTTTTTACAAGAATAATTTTATATTTACAACATTCTAAAAACTAATACAATTAAAAGTAATGTAATGCAATATTTATCATTTATCGATTTCTAAAGAAATATATATGAAAATAATTTTTTATTCATAGATTTATAAACATTTACTAAATTATTCAAATATGTGAACCAATTAGAAGGAAATCCTTATTATTTACCATTTTATAAAGTTTGAAAGGTGGAAACTGACTATAAAACAGTAGACGTCCAGCAACTGAAATGTGATATTTGTGGTAAGATATGCGGGTCCACAAGCGGTTTCATGCGGGATTCTAAATTGCATGATAATGTACCACCCGGTGTTGGACCTCTTAAGTGCGCTGTCTGTGCAAGATTATGTACGTCCCTTGCTGGGCTAAAGGGCCACATTCGTCCAGCACATCAGTTATGTAGTAATGGCCGTATTCAGACACGAGTTGGCAACCACCACATATATATATATATATATATATATATATATTAAGACATTTATATGTTTATACATTCTTTTTATATATACAAATATTTAAGTAAATGCTCTGTTTTATAATAAACAGTATTAATAACATTTACCCAACTGAATGTCCGAGAAATTTTCATAGAAAATATTCGTCCTCCGACAGGAATCAAACCTGTATCCTATACGGAACCGTCATTCTCGTGCTTAAACCGATGAAGCCACGGAGATTGGCAAGGTCGATTTTATTGCATTTAAACTTCAATCTTCCACGAATCTCTAACGTACATTCATATCTGCTCAAAGCGTATCCAAATGTAAACAAATGACGTCACATATTATGAAATGGACAAAGTCCGACAATTATTTGTGGCGATTAGCCCTACTTGAAGTTATGTAGTAATGGCCGTATTCAGACACGAGTTGGCAACCACCACATATATATATATAATCACTTAAAACATTATTTTTAATGGATACCCATATTTAAGTAGACCCTACGTTTATTTTTTAAACAGTATTTTATTTTCGCCTTCAGCCTGAATATTCGAGAAATCTTAAAAAGAAAAATGCACCCACCGTCAGAATTCGAACATGCGTTCGCCTTTCATGAGAAACCATCGTTAGATCCGAAGTACTTTTAACGGTCTAGGTCGCGTTCTCGATTAACCAAGGATACATACCGTGTCTTTCTCGTTTAGATTTACGAAAGTTCATATGTGCACAGTTTCGTATCCGAAACGTAAACAAAGCAATTTCTAAAGAAGGGATGGATTTTTTTTATTTATAAATCCGACATTATTAATTTAAATGTTATTTTTTTTAGTGGATACCTATATTTAGATAGACGTTCTGTTTATTTTTTAAATAGTATTTTTCTCTACAGGCCTGGATATTCGAGAAATCTTATTACAGTAAAATGCTCCCTCCAGCACGATTCAAACATAAGCCCCAACTTTGTAGGAAAAAACATTTTTAGATCTAACGTGCTTTTAAGCGACTCGACACACACACACACACACACACACACACATATATATATATATATATATAGTTGCAGGTAATGCTGCCTGTTTAACTAAAAGCAGTGAAAGAAACAACATTTTCACAATTCTATGACGGTTGACATTATTTGCAGCGATAAAAAGAAATGAAATTAACGTGGAATGAGTAGAGGAGAAGGAATTTTGACGTTGAGATATTTTCTTATATCTTTTATACGAACTACTAAAGTATTAGCATAAAGAAAGAAAATTAATTTACAGAGGAAAAAGAAGGAAAGGCATTAAACTTAAATGATTGGAAATGTGTGTGTCTGTGCGTCTATGATACGAAGGTGTGTCGGTGGCTAAATGCAGTTATAAGTCACTCAGGAAAACGAAAGATGTCTCCAGTGGGGACGGATCCCGTATTGGTGTTGTTACGTAGCAATTACTCGGATGAAAAAGAGAAAGAGGAAGATTAACCGTCCTTTTATAATACTTAACCACACTTGACACTCCAAGTAGGGCTAATCGCCACAATATATATATATATATATATATATATATAATCCGTAAATGGGAAGGATAATCCAAGTATGTCATTTTAATATAAAATATTAAAAAGATGGATTCATGAAGATAGGACAATGTATAGTATACAGAGCAATATGATATACATCAAGGAAAAAGTTTTTCCTTGATATATAACGATATATAATTTTGTATAATTTCATATATCAACAAACTGTATTTAGAAAAATAGTATGACAAATTGGAAAAAAAATTGGGGAAGAGTTTCATCCACATATGTAGACGGGGCAACATCAACAAATCCTAGTCCGATGAAATCCTAACGGATATATATATATATATATATATATATATATATATATATATATATCGCACACTGAGTGCTGGTTATTGTATTTTTTAATTAAAAACATAATAATAAAATTTTTAATCAATACAATATTGAGTAATAATTGCCATTTCAAAGCAACAAACGCTGATAATAACAACAAGGGTAATTGTAGACATTCTAACGAGTGTCCATTACAAAACAGATGTCAAACAGACTCTCTTGTTTACCTAGGCTCTATTTCTACTATAGAAAATCCAACAGTTAAAAAAAATTATATCGGGAGTACCAAGAATTCCTTTACAATTAGGTGTTACCAACATATATTATCTTTGACCAATAATGCGTACAGAAAGAGGACGTCTCTTTCTAAATATTTTTGGAACTTAACAAAAGTTAATAAAACCCCTACGGTAAAATAGAAAATATTAAAAAAAAAAAAAACTAGAACTTAAAAATCTTTAAATAAACCGTGCTTCTTATGTTTACATGAAAAATTACAAATAATCAAATTTGCTGACAAAAAATCTGTTAAACCAAAAGAGTGAATTAACTGTAAATTGCTGACACAATTTATCTTTTACCTTAAAATATAGTTAAAAATTTGAAAAAAATTACGTATTACGATTTCTTATAGCCATAATTTATACTAATAAATAATAATGGTCCAACTTCTATGGGTAATAACCTTATTTTGTTAATTCAGCTTAAATGTTGCTATGTATTACCGTCCAGTTAGTATTATTAATATCGTATATAGATGTTTCACATTTTTAATTTTATTTAAACCCACCTTTACGAAACTTCTTGAATATAAAAAATTAAAGTTTTTTTTTCTGTTAACTTTACGTCTGATTAACCCACTCCTCTTTTCAACAAATTAAACATGTCAGATTTGTCTACAATCACGATATATTTGTCGCTGGTATATTTTCTGCAATCGTCAATGATGTCATGTCTATGTTTCGGTTTATTGTGACATGAAAAAATACCCACCTTCATGCTCTGAGCTTACTTTTCTATTTAACGTAGATCTGATATTTAATTGGTTAATCAAGACATACCCACAAGTCTATTTTTAATTCTGACCTTATGTACCCACCTTTAACTTTGTTTTTAAATTTCCTTAAAAATCATTTAATCACCAGTTACTTATCATCCCCTGAGGAAGTACAATCATGGTATTGAAACATGAAAGCCTTTGTGTAGCGATTTCAAAATGTTTTTATTATAATCTCTTATAATAAAAACATAATAATAATATATTTCTCTACTGTGTATTGAGCACGTTTTTAAAAGTAAATGCTATGAATTGTGGATTTTTACTCCATCTGTTCTTCCTCTCATTTGTGTATACTCGACTCTACCGTCGAATTCGACGTATGAGGGTCAAGCAGATCAGTTCCTAGGAAACCGACAGCCCGAAAACAGCACATGAGAATTGATTATAGTGGTGAAGATTTCGTGCAGGACCATCCACACTTTTTGAAGGGCCGAATACAGAGACCTGGTGCACTACATGCCACAAGGTCCCCAAACGACCCTCCGCAGGTTTTGAATTCAGAGTTGTCCTTCTCCTAGACCAGTTGCCATCTAAGGCTATAGAACCCAGTCTTCTGTCCTGCTATTTACCCATAGCTGGAAGGAGAAGAAGAGGATTCACACCTTTCCCAAGGGTATTAGCACGTAAGTGAATGTAATGCATCCAACTGGAATTCGAACTCGGCTCTCAATCCAAGCCGCTATCCATTAATCCTCATATATATGTGTGTGTGTGTGTGTGTGTGTATGTGTGTGCGTGCGTGTATGCCTACATAAAGATACAGCGATATTCTTTATAATGACAGTATTTATGGCCCTAAAAAGAAATCAGAAAAATTCTCCCCTCACCTGGTATTTCGTCAATGCAAACTGTTTTCTTGACTCCATCAAGAACAGAATCCAAATCCGAAATTTTTGAGATCTTGAACAAGTCTGAAGATTTGGCAACTAAGGAACGAGACAATTGCATATCAACTTTGGAACCGAATACAATAGCATAAACCTGGACGTCATTATCTCGCAGGAGCTTCACTGACTCGGCAGTAACTTTGACATCAACCGTGTTTCCATCACTGATGATAATTAACGCCTATAGAAAGAAAGCAGAGATACAATGAAAAACAGACATAAATTGAGTGAAACAAAACGAAATAATAAAATGCGCATGCTCGGGGGCATGCGCTTAAATACTCTTTTTATAGTAAAGTTCACTTAACACCACGGATCGAGTACCACTCAAATTAGAGAGAAGGTGAAAGGAAAAGTGTTAGGGGACCTAACCCATAATAACATAATGGACTTATTCCATACGTAATAAATACTGCGCCTCAAGAGGAAGCAGAGAGTTCAGCCCGAAGTCGGGCGATCGGCTGATTGAACTCTCTGCCTTCGGGTGGGGAGGAACCCGAACGAGGCTACGCCGAAGGGCGGAGTCTCTTTCGGGGAGGTAAACTGACCCTGAACCCGTTTATACGGGTTTTAAAAGGGCATATTTTTGGCCGAGCCCACGGGTTCGGAGATCCCACATTAAACCGGCCTTGTGCCACATGATGCCCTCGTGGTGGGGTGACTAAATACCGTTCAGTCTGGAGTGAAGTCCGTCAGGAGTCTGTCAGTCAGTCAGAGAGAGTCAGTCAGTCGAGTCAGAGGCAGTCCGAAACAGAGTCGCGTTCAGACAATTACTACTAAACCTGATTGTTCGTAGTAACACTTTCTACTTTGTATATATTCCTGTTTGTGATATATCTGTGTTACTCCATATCCGTGTTCGAGTTCTTCTTTATTGGTTCTTGGACTATCACCGTGGTACAAAAAACCGGACCTTAACAAAAAGACAAATCAGTTTAATTTAAGGTCAAGAATCTTACTCGATTTATGGAAAAGGATCTTATGAGAAATTTATTCATAAACTAGCAGTATAGCCTGGCATTGCCCGTGCTTGATTCAAAAATCGTACGACTCATACAGCAAACGCTATCACTTGACTTAAAATATTTTTGCCCTTCCTTGCATTTAAAGGAGTGCCCTTTGCCGTGCTGATGTTGCTACATGCCTTACTTCTTGCCTATCTCACACTGAAAATTTTTTCTAAGCTCTATTCTAAACATTAAATCTGTTACGAAAAAAGAACTAAACAAAATGAACACAAAATGATCAGCTTTAAAAAAGGACTCGTAACTGGAAAAACCGAATGAAAAAAGAATGTTAACAACAAATACTTTTTCACACCCAACCCAGTTCTGCGGGATCAGAATCAACGCGAATAAGCCAATTGGACTAAAGTGCCATGCAGATTTAAATTTTTCCCACTTGTGACGAATGCAGCTATCGATTTTTTTGCATGCTAACTAACATTCGTGTCAGTAAGCTGTTGGCTCTCACGCTGGCCAATAGAATCTTCCTGCCTATTCGTGGCAGGCAGCTATTGGCTCTCACTCTGGCCAGTACAAAATGGCCGCAAACTACATGAAAACTGCCGTAGAAGCATGAAAAAATTGATTATTTCCACTATTGATGGGAGTTGGGAAATGCAAAGTCGGTCTTGGCTTTCCGGCTAACTTGGAGCATGTGCATGTAAATTTTGGTGCAAATCCGTCGAAAATTGCGACCGTGCATTCGTTACACACACACACACACACGCACACACGCACGCACACACACACACACACACACACACACACACACACACACATCCTGTGTTTTATACAAAACAAATTATCCCAAAGAATGTTGTTGCCCTCTGATGAAAGAAATTGCACCTAATAAGATTCTAGCCTCAAAATACATACATAACTATGAATAAAATTGGTGTCCTCGGATTAAAGACATTAATCATAAACATATTATTGTCTTAAACACATTACTCCTAAAAGGATCCTTGCCATGAAATTAAACACAGTACTTTTCTTCCATTTGTTGCCCTCAAACTAAAATCTTTGTTCATATTAAAATAGTTGTCCTTAAATTAAACCTTCGTCTTGAGTACAACGATAAACTGCATCAGCATCATGGGTAAGACGATAAACTGCATCCGCATCTTGGGTATGACGATACACTACATCCGCGTCCTGGGTATGACGATAAACTACATCCGCATCCTGGGTAAGACGATAAACTACGTCCAACAGAAGGCCTCTAATCAGGAAGTTCCGAGGAATGCGGAACCACCTCTTAATTGCTGGTGTTCCCAGGTTCACTCTGACCCGGGCTGGTAGCACCTGTTAGGGTCCCAGCTATAGACAAATAGTTGACCTCCAAAGTGAAGTCAAAACATATAAACGTGTAAAAATAGGTTCTAATACCAGAAATACTTCGTAAAAGAATTATTACTAGCAATACATTTTGAAAAAAATGTTACCAGTGATATATTTTTGAAGAAAAATATTACCAGAAAAAGATTTTTGAAGGAAAAAAATATTACCAACAATACATTTAAAAAAATATTACTAGTAATACAAACTTTGTCGGCATTAAATAACCCATTGAGGTTGATATGCCGTAAAGCAAACCAAACCAAACCAAACAAACCTATTATTCTTAATATTGTCATTCCTTCTCAACCCATTGATCTTTGTGAAATCATTGTCCTCAAATTAAACACATTGATTCTAGAAAGATTCTTACCCTCAAATTAAAAATAGTATTCTTATTAATTTTGTTGCTCTCAAACTAAAATCTTTATTCATATTAAAATAGTTGTTTTCAAATTAAACCTATTATTCTTAATATTGTTGTTCCTTCAAAGTAAAAACGCTGATCCTTACAAATCATTGCCCTTAAGTTAAATACATTGCTCCTAAAAGGATCCTTGACCTCAAATTAAACACTTCACTCCTAACAAAATAGTTGTCCTTTATATACATATATACTACAGTTCAAAGTTTGAAGCCCCCCCCCGCCGAATTAGCATAGGATGAACTTGACAGAAAAGTGAATAAAAAAAGTGAAAGAGAGCTCTTGTAGTTGTAACGAAAGGAAAACGAGGGAAGAATGATTTATTCTCCCAATTACGTTTCTCTCCTTATGGGCATTTTTATATCCGTCATACAACAACACCTTAGCTCACGGTTGAAAGGAAAAAGAATGACAAATATGCTTTGTTTTCAGAGAGACTTTTATAATACTAAGACATACACAAAACTATAAATATACATATATACACGTGTCCCACGCAGAGAACAATATATCACATATATCTACATAGCAAAGCAAAGTATAAGAAGGAACAAAAAGGAAAGGTCTTACATATAATTTGGAGATACTCCGGACCTGGAGATGTCATTTTTTTCGGACTCCAGATTTAAAGGATCAGAGTCATCTATGTCTCAAAGGGAAACGGCACCATATGCTTGTAAGCTGCTGGGGAGTCAGATTTGGACTCAGCCTGGGCCAAAGAGCCTTGGCTAAAAGGAAAGTAACCTTACTGTTTACGAACGACTGTCGCCTTGGGTCACTGTATGAAGTGGCGTCAGGAAGCGCCCGTTATGTGACCACGTGACTTATCTCCACCAAAGAAAGATAAGCGCCTTTTGTATTCTTACAGAGAATAATAAAAAAAAGACTGGAATCAATTATCAAATTTATACTTTGAGAAACTTTTGCAACGAATGCCAAAAATGTGTGCTGCAGTAATCAAGGCTAAAGGAGGATATTTTGACGAGGGCAAATTTAATCATAAAATGCTTTTTTTTATTTTTGTCATTATAAAATTTCTAATAAAAAATCATGTTTCACTTTTTTTACTCATATATAATAATTTACTCTTATTTAAAGTAAAAAATAATTACTTTTGGGGCCAATTAAAAAAAGTACCAGGTGGCGGCCTCAAACCTTTTGAACTGTAGTATATATATATATATATATATATATATATATATATATATATATGGTAGACTCTCGATGTATGAGGGTCAAGCAGCTGAGTTCCTAGGAACCGGCAGCCAGGCACCAGCACAGTGGTGAAGGCTTTGTGCAGAACCAACCACGTGCCGAATACAGAGACCTGGTGCACTATGGATCACAAGGTCCCCAAACAACCATCCGCAGGTTTTGAATTCAGAGTTGTCCTTCACCTAGACCAGTTGCCATCCAAGGCTATAGAACCCAGTCTATCCCTCTATTATATATATATATATATATATATATATATATATATATATAAAATAAAGTTAATGATTAGAGTTGAATTAGACCAGGAAACAGATACCAAAAGGTTGAAACCAAGGTAGCGGAATCGGATGATCTCCTAATTATATATATATATAATATATATATATATATATATATATATATATATATATATATATATATATAATAAAGACAGTTACTATCAAATTAAACACATTGATCTTAAACAGTTCGTTGCCCTCAAGTTAAAACCAAAGTTCCCAAAAAAGAATCGTTGCAATTAAATTAAATAAATTATTAAATAACCTTTCTGACGTTATTTCTGCCTCCAGCACTCAGGGAGAATCCTTGATTAACTGTTTTTAAGGACTTTCCTAAAAATGTAAATCCTCCTACGTAAGGAATCTGTTTGATACTCGATGCCAGGGCGGCGTTTTCTGTGAATTTGCCAAGTTGAATATGGGATTGAGCGTCAGTGGAAAATGTGTAAAATCCAGCTTGATAATTCTGTGGTCCAAGGTTAAATTGCATGATCATTTTGGCAGCGAAATCCAATTCTGTCTGAAATTCATTTTCCTTTAAGCTTCCCGAGTTGTCAACAAGGAAAATGACATCTGTCGCCGGCTCACTGCATACTGATAGAAAAAGAAATATAGAAAAAGGAAGGTAAGTGTTAACAGAAAAAACAACAGCTATTTATTTGTTTTAATGCTTTTATCTATCTAAACCAGGCATTTTTGGTAAGCAGGATTAAAAGGAAAACCTGTCAAGAACCTTCTTGTAGAATCAATGGCCATCATCTGGCACAATAGCAAAATCGGGTTCTAATCTAGCATGGCCCAGTTATTACGCATCCCGTTTCCACTCATCTACGTGGGTGACCGCTTGGGAATACTAAGTGCTGTATGCTTGGACGTGCGGTAGAGTAATAGGGCTTCCAGATACATCACATTGAAAGACTGGTTCCTGAAGGATCACCGAAGTTAAGCAACGTCGAGCCTGGTCAGTACCTATGTGGGTAACCGTTTGGGAATACCAAGTGTTGTTAAGTTTGGATGTGCGGTGGAGTAATACGGTCATCACGTTGAAAATCGGTTCCTGAAGGTTCACCGAAGTTAAGCAACGTCGAGCCTGGTCAGTACCTAGGTGGGTAACCGTTTGGGAATATCAGGTGTTATAAGTTTGGATGTGCAGTGGAGTAATAGGGCTTACGGACATATCACGTTGAAACACCGGTCCCTGAAGGATCACCGAAGTTAAGCAACATCGAGCCTGGTCAGTACCTGAGTGAGTAACCGTTTGTGAATACCAGTGCGCGTGGTGTAGTGGATATTGGCATCGCAATTGTTAATCGGAGACTAGAGTTTTAATTTCAGTTGGGTTAGCTATATCCACTTACGCGCAAATACTGAATCTACCTATCCTCCCCAGCTATGGGTTAATTATTAAGACTTGTATCACTAAATATCATTATTACCTTACAAACGAAAATATTTTTCTGGCTTTAAATAGCCTGCAATGGGTTGATAAGCCGTAAAAACGAATCAGTCAATCAATGAAATACGGATTAGCTACACGGGCATGTCTTTTAGATTTATTTACATTCTCTAGATTATACATGAAAAGAAACTACAGTGGCCACAAAGTGAGGGATCCGTTTGCATATTGATTGTAATATGGAATTTATCCCCCACTTTATATCCACATTATAATTTACTGATTGTCTATCTAATTGCGATTAGATATGAATTTACCGTTTCAGCAATGGGTTAAGTAGTAAAAATTTATCACTTCATCATAATTATCTCCAATAGAAATTCTTACAAGCTATAAATATTTCCGCATGAACTCCTCGCTATGGTATAAAGAATTTATGAATTTAAGGGCACTACAAGGCTAGCGATAAGGTTATATCAATTTACAGTCGGGTTTGCTAGATGTAATCGTAAGTTCTATGCTAACAGTTTCTTCCATCGCACTTTTCATTTGTGGAGTTCTCTTCCTTCTTGCCTTCCATTCAAGTTTGATCTTCAAAAAGTTAAATGCAATGTCAATCGTTATCTTCTGCCTTTTATTCTTATTCGTTATCTTCTGTTCTTTTATTCTCCTTGCTCCTTAATAATGTTTTTCTTATATTCTTAATATATTATTCTTAAAATTAATATATTATATTCTTTTATTCTCCTTGCTCCTTAATAATGTTTTTCTTATATTCTTAATATATTATTCTTAAAATTAATATATTATATTCTTTTATTCTCCTCGCTCCTTAATAATGTTTTTCTTATATTCTTAATATATTATTCTTAAAATTAATATATTATATTCTTTTATTCTCCTCGCTCCTTAATAATGTTTTCTTATATTCTTAATATATTATTCTTAAAATTAATATATTATATTCTTTTATTCTCCTTGCTCCTTAATAATGTTTTTCTTATATTCTTAATATATTATTCTTAAAATTAATATATTATATTCTTTTTTATTCTCCTTGCTCCTTAATAAAGTTTTTTCTTATATTCTTAATATATTATTCTTAAAATTAATACATTATATTCTTTTATTCTCCTGCTCCTTAATAATGTTTTTCTTATATTCTTAATATATTATTCTTAAAATTAATATATTATATTCTTTTATTCTCCTTGCTCTTAATAATGTTTTTCTTATATTTTAATATATTATTCTTAACATTAATATATTATATTCTTTTATTCTCCTTGCTCTTTAATAATGTTTTTCTTATATTCTTAATATATTATTCTTAAAATTAATATATTATATTCTTTTATTCTCCTTGCTCTTTAATAATGTTTTTCTTATATTCTTAATATATTATTCTTAAAATTAATATATTATATTCTTTTATTCTCCTCGCTCCTTAATAATTATATTCTTAATATATTATTCTTAAAATTAATATATTATATTCTTTTATTCTCCTTGCTCTTTAATAATGTTTTTTCTTATATTCTTAATATATTATTCTTAAAATTAATATATTATATTCTTTTATTCTTCTCGCTCTTTAATAATGTTTTTTTTATATTCTTAATATATTATTCTTAAAATTAATATATTATATTCTTATATTCTTTTATTCTTCTCGCTCCTTAATAATGTTTTTCTTATATTCTTAATATATTATTCTTAAAATTAATATATTATATTCTTTTATTCTCCTTGCTCCTTAATAATGTTTTTCTTATATTCTTAATATATTATTCTTAAAATTAATATATTATATTTATTTATTCTCCTTGTCCTTAATAATGTTTTTCTTATATTCTTAATATATTATTCTTAAAATTAATATATTATATTCTTTTATTCTTCTCGCTCCTTAATAATGTTTTTTTTTTATATTCTTAATATATTATTCTCAGAATTAATATATTATATTCTTATATTCTTTTATTCTCCTCGCTTCTTAATAATATTTTTCTTATATTCTTTCATATCCAGTAATCCCATGTGTGTTCTGTTGCTTTGCTTAGGGTGAAATTATTCGCATTATTTACACTCGGACTATTTTCCTAACTTTTGTTACTATTATAGTTTCGGTTGCTGAGAATTTCTGTCTTTTCCAGATGTTTGCCAATCCTGGTAACGTTCTGGGAATTTCGAACGGAACCCTTCGATAGGGAACAATGGAGAGTTAGACATCTGAAAGAATCAGCCCATATACTAGGCTATGAGGACCTCCCTAGTAGGCTTAGCATATAAATGAATACGACATGGGAACCGTTAATAAAGAAAAAGAAACGACAGCAAGGCTTTAACAGCTGCAGCAACAGTAAGAAAAGAAGTATCTCAGTGAACATAGTCAATTTCAGGAGCAGGCAGATTAGGTTCTACACTCAGGATTGCCCCACGAGATAATTGCCTCGTGGATTAAAACGTTGGCCTGTGAATTTGTTGAATGGTAGTATAGACTTAAAGTCAGTGGAAACAAAGCGAACAAAAACTGATCAGTACTAAATAAGAACAAGATGAATTACCTCCCCTGGGCACAAACAGCGGAACGAGAACAATCTACTACTATAGTCGTCCTGGGTATGATGATAAACTACACCCGGCAGCAAAGCCTTTGATTAGGAGGTTTTGAGGAGCGTGGAACCACATCTTAATTGCTGTTGTTCCCAGGTCCACCCTCATTCGGGGTGATACCACCTGTTCTGGTCACAGCTATGGGCAAATAGTTAACCCCTAAACTAGGGTCAAAACACTATGAAAGTATAAAAATAGATTTTTATGGTAAAAATACCAGCAATGTATTTTTGAAAAAAAAATACCAGCAATACATTTGAGTCACGACAAAAACCCTCTTTACAAAAATACGTCAATGAATACATATTCTTACAAAGAATGCATATTCTATTTATACGAACCTATCCTAAAATTCTTGTCGGCATTAAATAATCCATTGAGGTTGATATGCCCTAAAACAAAGCAAACGAAACCAGACCCTCGACAAAAACCCTCTTTATAATGAAACCTGATCTACAAACTGATTTCTTACAAAGAATACATAAATGCATATTCTATTCATACGAACCTATCTTAAAAACCTTGTCGGCATTGAATAACCCATTGAGGTGTTGATATGCCGTAAAACAAAATAAACCAAACCAGACTCTCGACAAAAACTCTTTTTACAAAAATACGTCAATGAAACCTGATCTACAAACTGATTTCTTACAAAGAATACATATTCTTTTCATACGAAACTATCCTAAAAATCCTGTCGGCAATAAATAACCCATTGAGGTGTTGATATACCGTAAAACAAAATAAGCAAATAAACAACCGGTTCAGTTCGAAATTCCCTGAAATTTACCCTAAACAAAAAGTACCTGATGAAGACCGTTGATAGTAAAGATGAGGACATTTTCTTTAATATTGTTCATTCAATACAATGTCTAAGTTCCACTCAAGGTAGATTTTTCAGTGAATGGAGATGTTGCAAGGCCGTATAGGGAAGGAGCAAAGGTTGCATATTATGAGGATATGTAGGATAAATAACGATTGACCCTTGATTTGAAGAAGTTACGATTCTAGTAATCAAGGAAGCGTCCCATCAGGAGTTGATTCCACATCGCAACAATTCTGAGGAAGAATCTGTAAGTAGAACTTCTTCCTCACCAATACAACATGAAGAGAACGAGGAAAAGGCTATTTTGCTGGTTCCAGTAAAATAGATAAACATGCTTTTATGCTTATTTTACCTGTATCGGTAAAATAGACGACCAGGCTATTTTGCCGGTAAATATTTTTATTATTCTGAAAGCAGGTAATGCATTATTTTATTATTCTGAAAGCAGGTAATAACAACACATGGATTTAACACAGAAGTTTATTTATTTTCACCATCAATTGTTAAGACAGTTTAAAATCTTGTCCACCATCAGCTGTTAAAACACAAGTTAAAATCATTTATTCACTATCAATTATTAAAAGAAATCTAGAAGTCTGAATATTTTAAGCACTTCCGGTATAACAGACTGCAAATCCCAAACTTGCTAATGGGCATGGTTCTCTTGCCAAAACTCTTCAGGTAAACCCACTGAAGACAACAGTCACAGAACACAGAATCCATGTTGGTCAAGTCCTGTCTACAAAGCTAACACAACCACTGGGCTGATGATCTCAAATATAACATATTTCTCGTTCTAAAACACTATTTGTATTTACTGATAAAATAGCCTTGGTGTCTATTTTACCGGGACCGGCAAAATAGGCTATTCGTTTTTTTTTACGTTGAGATGGGTGTCTTTATGAGGTGCTGACGCATTTATAGACAGCCTGATGTTTGTCTAATTCATGTAAGGGGAGGTAATTGTAAGAAAATTGCATGACAAATACAACGTAAATGCCATTTTTTTATATAATTTTTTAATCACTCAGTAACTTTAAAAATATTTTAAGCATTATAATATTTTATTGAAGTTTAGGTACTTTGGCTTTATAGTGTAACTTACAAAGACACTTTTGAGGAAATGTAAGAAAATTACCAATAATTTTAATATTTGCTATAGTTACCGCTCTTATTTTCAGATAATGTCGTGTATGGACGTCCGTTTTTACAAAAATAAAAAATTTCTTTTTAAAATACTAGGAGGTCGTTGAATTGTAGTAAGCTTTTCCATTTATGATTAGTAAATACAGTTTTTATTTAATAACAATATTACTTGACCGATACAAATTAATACAGAATTTTAAAAGTTTATAAATTATTCTAATTAAAATTAAAATTTTTGTAAAATTTCATTATTCGTCGAAAATTTTTTTGTAAGACAATAGTAACCATAATATATTCTATTCATAAAATCAATTAAAAGCTTCCGTAATTAAACAAGTTTTGGGTCTTATTACATTTTTATTTTAGAGAAAATTTTCTATAACTAGAGGTCCTGTTTAACCAAAAAGAAATTGATGATTTTAATTCTCCGAGGATTGTCCTTATTAATATAAGCATTAAAACCCTACAAAAAAAAAAAAAAATTCTCGAATTTATAAAATAAAAGTAGTGGAAGGTAACAGATGTAAAAAATATTTTTATCAAGACTTTCTAGAAAAGAAACATTTCAGAAATAATTTCATTAATTTCTGAATAAGTTTTTGTTTTGGTTTGGTTTGTTTTACGGCATATCAACCTCAATGGGTTATTTAATGCCGACAGGATTTTTATTGTTGGTAATATTTTTTTCAAAAAATGTATTACTGGTTATATTTTTTTTTCCAAAATTCATTGCTTGTAATAATCTCTACAAAGATGTACTGCTGGTATTAAAACCTATTTTTACACTTTCATAGTGTTTTGACCCGTTTGGGGGTCAACTATTTGCCCTTATCTGAACTTAACAGGTGCTACCACCCCGAGTTAAGGTGGACCTAGGTACACCAACAATTAAGAGGTGGTTCCATGCTCCTCAAAACCTCCTGATCAGAGGCTTTGCTGTTGTAGTTTATCGTCTTACCTAGCACGCGGATGTAGTTTATCGTCATTCCCATGACGGTCTGTATAAATTCTAAAAATTTGATTAAAACCAACAATTACTTATATTTTTCCAAGAATTTACAAATCAGTGTGTTTTTTTGTTTTTTTTATCGCAAAACAAATTTCCAGTACTAATTTATGGTCACATGTTGACGACAAAAAAACAAGATTGTTTAACCAAAATTTCGAACTTCTAAGAAGCATTTTAAAATAATTTTTAAATAAAAACTCCTTTTTCTTCCCTCTTAATAAGAATCTAAAAATTTTGACGATAAAACTTATTTTTATTAAGTTGTGGGCATTTTTAATTCGTTGTATGCTCATTTTTTAGCGAATTTTTGGAGGTACCTACCATTAATCTATATCTATACAGTGTAACCCGGATATAAGAGATTTGTCGGGACCGGGGAAGAAGTCTCTTATATCCGGGTTTCTCTTATATCCGGGTTTGGTCTATTTTATATACATTAACACAGGCTCTAATTTGGGACCAGAGAAAATCTCTCTTATATCCGGGTTTCTCTTATATCCGGGTTTCTCTTATATCCGGGTTACACTGTACTTCTCAGAATGTGTGTATGTATGTATGTGTGTCTGTGTGATCGGATGTTGTTTATGCATTTCCACAGTTATTATCCGATTTCAATGAAAGTTTTTTTTTGTTTAATAGATAATTCTTCAGTGCCGGTTTTGAGTCCAAATTGTTGGCGACAATGGCTCTCCACTACTTCCTGTCCATTATAACTCTCAGCAACGTTTTACTATTTACTATCTGTTCTTGGATATATATCTTCTATAAAAACTTTAATAAAAATAAATAGTTTAAATTATTACAATATTTATCATACAGTTCACTTTTCCGGCCCCACCCCTATTCAAATTGTTAACTCCTATTTGGGGATGTGTCTCAGTTGCACCCAATTGTCGTTAATAATATTGATTTTCGGGTGGGCTGACTTTAAACTTAAACTACTCCAAGTGAACGACAAAAATTTCCAGTAATGAAAGACCCGGCCAAAGAAGGGTATATAGTAAATTATGGTAATTCAACAAGAAGACCAGCTTTTATTTGTTATCTTTTATTTGAAGGAAATTAAATTTTCACTATATAATGGTACAACATGAACACGTTCTTTTACGAAATGATTGCAACACAATTATCATATATATATATATATATATATATATATATATATATATATATATATATATATATATATATATATATGTGTGTGTGTATATATATATATATATATATATATATATGATAATAGGAAAGTACAATGAGATTTTCTCAGCATCGCTTGATAATGGAACGAAACTTTGTATTCTAAGTTTAATTTTTATGATTGAATTTGAATTGAATTTCAGTTTTGAAAAATAGGAATTTCCGTGTTGCGATGATAATATATCTTTAAAATCAATTATATATATATATATATATATATATATATATATATATAATGAAATGGACTAAGCCCGACAATTATTTTAATATATTTTCTGTTTATACATTATTTTTATACATAGAAATATTTAAGTAAATGCTCTGTTTATAATAAACAGTATTAACAACATTTACCGGAGGACATATATATTTTTTATGAAATTTCTCGGACGTTCAACCCGGTAAATGTTGTTAATACTGTTTATTATAAACAGAGCATTTACTTAAATATTTATGTCTATATAAATAACATAAAAACAGGAAAAAAAAAAAAAAAAACACACACACACACACACACACACACACACACACACACACACACACACATGTGTGTATCTGTTTGGAAAATTTATGGCAAAATGGCAAAAGTTATCATGTGACGTGTTTCGTCCTTTAGGACTTCTTCAGATTAAAGTGGTGTTTACGCTAATGAGACTACACATGCGCATGGAGGAGAGGGAACGCTGAAGTTTTAAAATAAAACATAATTTTTCAAAATATGTCTTTTGCGTGTATAGCCAAGCCGATTTCATAGATTCTGCTAAAAGTGTTCTTGATATATAGAAATTTCTCCCTATGGGTTAAATATTAGGACTGGAAAGATCATTGTTATCTCCAAAAATGCTTTCTATCCTACAACCCCTCCCCTACATACGAAATGTTGCTAGCATCTTGCTATTCTACAGTTATTTTCATGTCGGATGTTCGGCCGAACTACATTCCTTAGTTTCAGAAGTCCGGATGTTTACAGCTAAGACCCGCCGGTCCACGCCCACTGAATCGACTCATTCTCGTTCCCTTCATATTCCATTGGTAATGAAGAAGTCCCACTCAGACTGTTTCTTTCCCAGAACGGTTGTGATGTAGAACGGGTTCCCGAGTGGATGTTCCCTGATTGCTACAATGTTAACCCCTTCAGTTTTGGGGTCGGAATTAAGGGGTTAAACGTCTTTCTTAGTTTCAGTAATAAGGGACTTTAAATTAAACAACGCACTGAAAGCAATTGTGTGTCACCGACGAATGTGTTATACATGTAAAATCCTTTCGTTCCCAAATCCCGAAAACAGAAAAGATTTGTGCTGACTAAAGGAAGGTGGTTTCTACTCATGTTGACCATTTGGAACATCGTTGGGATCGAAATAATAAAGCATATTTTTTCTCTATTTTTTTCAATATGTTTTTTAATTTTTTTCCTCTATTTTTTTTTTCAATTTTTTTTCTTATTTTTTTTTTTACAATTTGTTTTTTTATTTTTTTCTCTATTTTTTTTCAATTTATTTTACATTTTTTTTTCTCTTTTTTTCATAATTTCAATAAGGAAATTTTTATAGTTCATAATTTATCATTTTATAATTTATCATTTTTCTCAATTTTTTCTCAAATTTCTTCTCATTTTTTCTTTTAATTTTTTCCTCAAATTTTTTTTCTTAATTTCAATAATAAAGAACTTAAAATGAAACAACGCACTGAAAGCACTTGCGTGTTACAGACGAATGTGTTATACATGTAAAATCATTTACTCATAAATGCAGAAAATAGAAAAGGTTTTTGCTGACAAAAGGAAAGAGGTTTCTACTCACGTTTAGCATTTGCAACATCATTGAAATGAAAAATAATAAAGCAGACGAAGACTTGAACGAATAGACGCAGCATAGCAAACATGGCCGAAAGATGACGTTAACGTATTTTGGGCCGACGTGTCAATTCAAGTTTTTCTTCTCTTGGTAGACGTTCTTTTTTTTTTTCTTTTTTCAGGGAGAAGGGGGTACGCTCGTTTTTATTTATTTTATCTTTATTTTTATCTATATTTTATCTTTGGGCCCCGCTTTTTAAAAATCTTTTATCAGTTCTCGAAAGACAACACGCCACCATCAAATGCGGATGCAGTTAAGATTTTACACGGACATATAGACGCATTTACTAAGTTTAAAAAATTTAATTTCAGACAATTTAAATCGGATTAAAGTGGTGTTGACGCTAATGCGACTACACATGCGCATGAAGAGGAGGGGGCACTGAAGTTTTAAAATGAAACATCATTTTTTAAAATATCTTTTGCGTGTATAGTCTAGCTGATTTCATAGATTCTGCTAAAAGTGTTCTTGATATATAAAAATTTCTCCCTATGGGTTAAATATTAGGGCTTGTATCTGGAAAGATCATTGTTATCTCCAAAAATTGAAAGTAATTTCGAATAAAAGTCTTTTAGTGCGTGAATCAAGTTAAATTTTACTTATATTTCGATGTTTTAACTTGAAGCATCGAATGCGTTGGTAGTGTACTGGCTGTCGGCGCTGAATTCCGACATTGTTACGTTTATTTCCGCACTGATGACCTGTGGGAAGACATGAATCCATGTCTTCTCCCTGCCACCAGCTATCGTATCGGTTAATAGGAGGGTAGACTGAACACTCTAACCTTGGTTGGAGGCCAGTCTAGGAAAAGAACCACTCTGAATTGTAAACTTCAAGGGGTCATGGCAATTCACAGACAATAAACAAAAAGGTCCAGCGGAGAACCATAACTGCGTACACCCTGAAAATATATGGCATTAAAAAAAAATTCAAAATTTGTCCGCAAAGTATTCAGCCATTTTTATATTTTTATATATATTAATATTTTTTATTTTATTAAAAAAACAAAAGAAACAAAAAAACAAACAAAAAACAAAACAAAAAAACAAAAAACAAAACAAAAAAACAACTTAAGCCTACCCAGGGCAGTGGTACCTTAGACCTCATTAAACTACTACGCTTGAGGCTTCACATACCACTTCGACTTTTCGAACAGCATTCAAAATTCTCTTTCGGGATTGCCATGATGTACCTCATCCATTCTCCTTGACCTTGTCCGCAGTTTCAATCTTCTTTTTTTTCAACGGCGATTTTATCTTGCTGGAGAGAGGGGATCCCAAAGTTATGGGGATTTAAATTTGAATTCGAGATGACCCTAAAAGAACCCATTGATATGATATTTTGTAAAAAAAAAAAAAAGGGAAAGAAAATCATGCACAAGCAAACAACAGTATCCATGCGTACTTAAAATCGCATCACTATCGATTGAGTAACTCCAGGGGAGTGCTTCTGTTCAGACCTGCTCAGTAAAGTCTTCACTGGATAGGGGGAAAATTATATTAAGATATCAAACGGGTTCTCAACATATACTGTGTATAATGGTGATTTTTATTGATCTTACGAGGTAATGAATTTTCTGGGTTTTCAAATACAACTGATTATTGATTGAGTGTGATTGTTATTCTTCTGTTGAAGCCATTTCGATGGAATTATTTTTTTCAGTTTAATTTTTTTTTGCATAAGTTCTTTTCCACAAAAGATTACACCATATCCGCCCAAATAACATATTATTATTTTCCCAAGACGGTTGCACATCTTGAATTGAATTATCAATGATTAGATAAGTTAAGCCATTACACACACACACACACACACACACACACACACACACACACACACACACACATACGCGCGCACACACACACACACGCGCGCGCACACACACACGCGCGCGCGCACACACACACGCGCGCGCGCACATATATATATACTTGTTTTTGTTTATTTAATTTTATTTATTTATTTTCATTTATTTTTTGTTCGTTTTCAGTTTTCGATTTTTAAGTAACGTAGTAAAAATTTGTTTTTGTGTCTGCATTTTGATATGAGATCTGATCGTTTATTTTGGTCTGGGAAGGTAATTATTGCTATTTTTCTTCCAGGCAGAGTTTACAGCTTTTGAATTGACTGTTGTACGCTGATGTTGTTTTCCTTATTTTCCATTTTTGGTGTGATTTAGTTTTTGTTTTTAATTTCCAAGATATGTTTAGAGAGCATTGGGATGTTCGCGTATTTATTATTTGTTAAGGATGTTTTGTATGCGTAGTTTTTTTGTTTCCAGATTACCTTTAGTTACTTCTATGTGTACTTTTTCTTCGTTATCTGCCGATTTTAGAGGGGCTTGCTATATTACATTGTTCTCCAAGCAATTGCCTTTAAAAGGATATTTGTTCCTTATTCTGCAGTTACACGTGAGTTTAATTTGTTCAGGTGGTTTATTGATTGTTTTACTGTTGTGCTCTTTTATTATTTGTATCATGTTCTCGTTTCAACTGTAGTTGATTTTTACTGTTTTTTGTTGAATATCTTGTGGAGAATGCTTGATGCGGGAAAGTGTTTGTGTAAGAGTTTAATGAATATTTTTCCTACGTTTGTTTTTACGTTTTTGTTGTACGGTGGGTTGAACCATATAATGCTTCTTTTCCTGATGGGTTTTTTGTTCTCTGAGTGTTGCCATTTTTAGGGCTGTTTCATAGTCTTCCTTAGCGCCGTGGAATATAGTTTCATTCAAAGAATTATCGGAAAGCCTGCGGTTATTTGATTGTGGTAACTGCTTGAATATTGATGGCGGGTGGTTGGAAGATGTGTGTACATACTGTGATTTATCATTGAGTTTTCTGTATGGTTTATCTTTACCTATTCTTAGGTTGAAGGTTATATCTAGAAAATCTACTTCGTTTAGTTTAGTATTTATGTCTATGTCGAATCCCATATTTAAAAAAATATGGTTGTTTTTCTAGTTTTGTCTGTTTTTGTTTGTTACAGTTTCTTTAGATTATGAGACCTTTCTCCCTGTAGAGTCTTCTATCATTTCTTTCGATTATTTTACTTGCTTTGTGTAGTAAATGTGTAACTATGAGTTTGCAGGTCCCTAGCGCCGTCAAAACGTCCCATTGTAGTCTCAAATGTCACTTCTTTCTTTATTCATGCGTCTTTAATAGATATCCTTAAGGACACATGGCACAATGGATAAAGGCGTTAGTTAGATCCAGTGACAGGATCTAAAGGGTGTGAGTTCAATACCTGGTTAAGGCGGTGGAGAACTTGGAGTGGGGCATTAACAGAAGATAACTGATAACTGACATCTATTAAACATGTCACGTCGGACTAGAACAGTCTATCCCAGCGAACAAAATAAAGACATTCCAACCACCTGAAGAAGGCCGGAGCGTACAACGACCGAAACGTTGTGATAAATATGGCAACAAAGATGGGGACGATAGTCCGAACAATGTAAATAGTGTACATAATACCTCATCTCAGAAATATAGACAGCATAATTTCTACCGTGTGAGTCCAAAAAGTCAATCACATTTTTTTAAAATAAGAATTCAGAGTTAGATGGCGACATAAAGGGTTCCTTAGGCTGCGACGGAGCGATAGATTTACATATCTGGCATTGGGCTCTGGTCTGTTGGACGCTGGCACCCAAACCAGGCCAAAATAGACTATGTCCCGCACTTTGTTGATTTGTTCGTGGTTTCAATTTCAATTAGCAGATTTCTGGCATACCCTTTTCACATGAACCCTAATACGGCATTTATGACACACCAGTTTAGCTGCTGGGCAATATCTTCTACTAATTGATCCACCTGAGTGAAATGTCTTCCCGCCACCCACGCAAAAATTCTTATTCGGCGAAGAAGCGGGTACATTATTTCTACGGAATTGTCGCTCGTGGCTAGATAACTGTAGGTAGGACGAGGTTGACGGGCTAACATAATTTAGTAACCATGCAGCTGACTTGTCCGTCGTTTTAAAGCTGATGAGTTGGTAGAACTTTTGCTCGAGTGTGGTGAGGTTGACCGCCTAAGCCAAACCTCGACTCTGGTGTTCCTTGTTAGCGAGTCCGGCAATCATCTGACCATGTTGCACGAGTAGTTGACTTGCTGACCGCAGCCTTCCGTGTTGGGACAATCAACTGTGAAAAATTTGGCTTGAGTTCGTAGCCTTGCTAAAAAAATAAAAAATGAGTGATTGACACATCTTCCGCCTGACGTGTAGAATGAAATTCTTCCGGTGAACTTCCTTGTGCAAATCTTTTATCGCAATGAATCGGATGTGCGACAAAAGCCTTTAAGTTCGAAAAGGAGCCTGTTGACTTCAAGCAAGCATGTCGTTCTCAATTCGTTGCATATTTCGAATGGGTTGGTAAGTTTACACATCACATTATACCGAGTCAAATCGTCAAGGAATAATGCCCTGTTATTGTCTGTTGTGTTGGCATGACAGGACAGTCTGTTTTTTTTGTGTTGGACATTTGTGTCGTGTTAGGGGTTCTGCCCCTCCGAAGTACGATAGTTTCTCTTTGTAGTTCTATCATCTTGAATCCACTTGTCAAGGAATTTTTTTAATTGATCCACCCGGGTGGACTGTCTTCCTGCAACCCACACAAGGATCATTATTCAATGAAGAAATAGGTAACATTAGTTCCTTGGGGTTGTTAAAGCTCATGGCGCTTGTGACCAGATATCTGTAGGTAGGACGAGGTTGATAGGCCAACATCATTCAGTAATCGTACAGACTTATCCATAATTTCCAAGCTGACAAGTCGGTCGAACTTTTTCTCAAGAGTGATGAGACTGGCAGCCTCAGCCAAAATTCACCTCTGATGCTCCTTGTTGGTGAGTCCTACAATCATCTGCTCAGCTATCATATCACCCAAGTAGTTGACTCGCCAACTGCAGCCTTCTGTGTTGGGACAATCAACTGTGAATGATCAAAATTTGTCTTGAGCCTTGCTAAAAATGAGTGTGACCCACCTTCCGCCTGACATGTGGAACGAAAGGTTTGTCAGTGAACAAGCCC